AAGAAAGCAAAAGCAACAACATATGGGAAGGACAAATAAATAACTTAGTAAAGTGTATTACTGTTTAAAAGGCGACAACCAAATGGCATATTGTAACTACCTAGAACTAAAACTAGAAGATACTAAGGGAGAAGTACCAAGGGAAATGACCATGTTCTAAAATACTTATCTAATTGGGAAACATATCGATAAACTTAAGGATTTTATGATAACCATGGGTGTAAGTTATTTTTACTAACTTAGACGTTTAATAAGTTACTCTATCCTGACTTGGCATGTCAGCTAATTTTGTTCATGATATCTGACTCTTGTTTGATCTTTACCATGAATTCCTAAATGATCTATGACACCCCCTCCACACACAAAACCACCCACAAAAACCACTGAGTGATCAGAGAACTCCAGAGGGCTAAAATTTCTCAGCCTTTTCCCTCTAAGAGACCCTGGGGCAAGAGTGACAACTTTGACCTCACATCCCTAGTTCTGACCTGTTACCCACCTACGTCTGGAGCCCGGAGCCTACTTTCAGCCATGGAACTCTCCAGCTCGAGGTAATCTCCTGAGAAAGAAGGACAAAACAGAAGCTCAACCATCTTCACCAGCTTTCGACCTTCATTCATCCTTACACCCGGCCCGCACCGTCTCCCAAACCCCGCACAATCCCCCAACGCGGCTCCCAGAAACAGTACGACTCTACTCCATCCTGACCTACGTACGTCCCATCTCAACTCCCGCACCTCTTCCCAGTCTCTTGCCCCTCAATCCCCTCGCCCCCTTTCAGACTCAGCTACCTCAACTCCCGTGACCTCTCGGCCATCCCTTGTTCATCTCAATTCCGTACCTTCCTCCAGGCTCTTGTCCCCTGAGTCCCTCCGCCTCCTTTTGACCTCTGTCCCCTCAACTCCTGTGACCCGTTCCTGGCCCAGATACCCTCAGCTTCTGCACCTACCCACTCCTCAGTTTCTATGCCCATTCCCTGACCCCCGCATTTCTCCTCAATGCGGGGTCTCTTCTGACTTCTTCCGCCTTCCTTCTTACCCAGTTCTCCCCTTCCCGGCATCCGTAGCCTTTCCCGGCTCGCTCATCAAATTCCCGGATCCTTCTCGGCCTCCGTACTCCTTCCTCAAGGCCTCCGTATTACATTCGCGAGCTCCATGAGCCGTCTGACTCCCGAGTCCTAGTTATTCCTGTTCAGCTACAACATCATTCTCTAGGCGTCTTCGGCCGCGGATACAGTTTAAATTTCCTGCTGGCTCCGCCCCGAAAACAATGGAGTAGATGCAAGATCTGCCCTACGGTGTCCTTGGAAGGACAGTATTAATTCCGCAAATCCTTTTTTCACTCCCCACCCCTTTTGCCTTTCCCGGTGCCTTCACAAGCCGGCTCAGCATTTCTTGGCTTTTCATTGGCTGGAGGGCTTTGCGCCTTCTTGTCCCGCAAATAGAGGACTCGTGGTGGCATCTTAGGGATTCTTCACACTGAGCTGGTTTGAAATTCCTAAGAGTTTGAACAGTAAATCACAAGCCTAACCCTTGTGGAGCATTTGCAGCTTACATAAAGATTTCACTTACACGTCATTTCATCTTTGTATCTTTGTCCTCCTCTCTTTTCTCCATTTACCTGCCAACAAAAAACTTCTGGAAAGAGATGTCTACATTCCTCACTTTTTTTTTTTTTTTTAACGCATCTAATTAGACATTGATCCTCACCTTTCCATTAAAAACTGTACTTGTTCAGATCAACTGTTACTTCCACGTTCCCAAATACTATTCTCATCGTATCCAACTTCTAGAACATGGAAGAGATTATTCCCTCCATGAAACACTTTCTTCTCTTTCCTTCCATGACTCAGCACTCTACTGTTTTTCACCTTACCTCAATCGCTCCTCCTCAATCTCCTTTGCTGGATCCAAAGCCACGGCTGACCTATAAATGTTGGAGCATGCCTCTGCTTTAACCCTTATCCCCCTAGAAGATCTCATCCAGCTTCTTGGCTTTACAATTCAGCTCTATGCTAATACCTTCCCGAACTTCTATCTCTAGCTCTTACCCCTCTCCCTGATCTCCAGATTTACATATTTAAGTGCTTACTGGACATCTAATAAGCACCTCAAGGCCGGGCGCGGTGGCTCA